TGAATGTGCATTAGCAGACCCACTGTTGGTATGACATGAAAGAGCTTCTTCTCAGACTCCCTTTTCCTTTCTGTTTCAGCGAGTCTGCAGCTGCAGTGTGATAAGAAGCAGATCACGGCTCCCCTCGGGTCAGACTTCCTGCTCTCCTGCAGCTATGAGAACCAGCTGCTCAGCAACAAGTACTGGTGCCGAGGAGAGTCCAGGAGGACCTGCGAGGTGCTGGTGGACTCGGAGGGGAAGACCAGAAGCACCCGGGTTCACATCGTGGATGCTCGGAGGAGAGGACTGTTTGTGAGGGTCTTAGATCTGCAGAAGGGGGACAGCGGGGTCTACTGGTTCGGGATCGACAGGCCTTATGCTGACATCATGACGTCATGATGTCATGGTGGTCGTCACTGAAGGTGAGAATACACACTGCAGGTGGAGAGGGTTCAATATTGAACTAACAGGTATCACCATGAAACCCCCGTGCCCGATCACGGCTCCCCTCGGGTCAGACTTCCTGCTCTCCTGCACTTGTTGGAGAGACGCCATCGAGGAACAGTTTTAACCATACACGTACACAAATCGTACAAGTACCCTTTAAGTTATGAAGTTATAGAAGCCTTATCAAGAAGAAAGAATACCGTTCAAACACATCGCAACTTCATCCAAACCATCGGAGGCCGAGTAACTCTTCAACTGTAAGTAATATAAAGGAAAGAAAACGAGTTAGAAGTGTAACTATATTTCCGTTACTGTCTGTATGGTTGCTGCCCCATAGACTGTTGTGTGCATTGAAATCACCACACCAACCTTCCTTCCTATGTTTATATTCTGCTATTTCTTTAAATATATTAGTGGTTAGATTTGGACATGGGTTGTATACATTGATTATCCTAATGTTATCTTGTTTTCTAGGGTTGCAGATGTCCACTATAATACAGTCTATACCATCAGGAGATTGCACCTCCCTATATGCCACACCATCTTTGAGAAATTACTGCAGGATCTCAGGTCTGCAAAGTGGACAGGTAGGCGAGAAAGGCTTTTTTGAGTCTCAGAGACCAAGGTCCTGTACACTTCACATACATTGACTGCAGGTCTGCGATGTGGACAGTACACCTCAAACACATACCTTCACAACCTGGGGTATTTGAAGATAAGGGAATGACATGTTTATAATATGCTGCAAAACACAACAAATATGCAGGGTTACGAGTCTGTTTCAACAAGTCCTCCAACTCATATGACCAAATATGCCGATTGTTCAGGCCCAATTATTACGACCAAATATGTCGTTTGTTCAAGCGCTTAATACGTCCTGCTCCCGTTGAATGCAAACGTTACAGATGGTCGTTTACTCACAAATAACCCTCTCTGTAAAATCCTAAATTGTAGGATAGTTTGGCATTAAAACGCTTTCTGATTAGATTTCTAGCGAGAAGTGTATATTGTACATTTAGAATCCACGTCCAGTCGATATGTAGGATCTATAGTTCCATAGATATTAGGAAGATGATTTGAGGTATGCGGCAGCCTCCATGTAAAGTTACGGGTTGAAAACAGTATTTCCGGTCTCGACGTTTTCATAATAAAACCAATGATCAAATGAACATTTAATATTCATTACTAAAGGTACAGCCGAATCATCACATCGCACAAAACCTATTACCGCCGCAGATGGACCAGAAAAGGGAGCGTTTAAAAAAAAAAAAAGGGGCGGGTCCACTCAGTGAAACGATAACAATGAAACATGGAGGAACAGAAGTGTGTGTGTGTGTGTGTGTGTGTGTGTGTGTGTGTGTGTGTGTGTGTGTGTGTGTGTGTGTGTGTGTGTGTGTGTGTGTGTGTGTGTGTGTGTGTGTGTGTGTGTGTGTGTGTGTGTGTGTGTGTGTGTGTGTAGAGGTGCGTGTGTGTAAAACGTAGCAGCCTGCGGTCGCTCGTTAGCTGTTCTAATTAAGGTAAACACAGTGAAGGCACAGCTCTTTGCAGCTGGTGCTGCTCTTCTCAGATTCTGCTGAGTTGCACGTTACTGCCTCCTGGTGCTGCAGAGATTTCATGAAGTGAAGGAGGTGTTCCTTCCATAAAGCAGCTGTGGGCAGCAGATACTGTGAGAGTCACAGACATGAATACATAGATCAAGGCAGACTGGTGCACACACTCTCCTGTTTTGCCAATCCGGTGGTTAAACAAATATAGCTCTACATCCCTGGCCGACATGTCCTTAAAATGAAGTCAGAGTTCGACATTTTAATTCATTCATTACCCTTCCAACTCCTCATGCAGTTGACTGTTACAGGTCTATCCAGGTTCATGGTACAATACATAAGCTTCACATCGAGACTGAAACTGTGTTTTCCTTTACCGTTCTGTTTTCATTTCACAATAAAGTTAATAGTCACATTGTGTTTGATATTATTATGTTTTATTAACTACACAACTGGTTTTTTAACCCGCGCCGCCTAGTGGTTAAAGCACGTTATTGAATGTTGTTGTTGAAGAAGTTTTATTTGATGAAAACATTTAAATATTAAGAGTAGCCTACATACACAATATAAAATATCAAGAAGACACTGTAGTGATCTCTAAAACAGTTGAGTGCAGGACGTCCAAAGATATTAACAGGAGGATGCAAAACAGACCAACTAGGCTTTATTTAAACATTAAACATTAATTTAAGTTAAGGTCTTCTTGAATAAGAAAAAAACGTTGGGGTTATCCACAGATAAATATGAAGTCTGACAAAGTACTTAACGTCCAATATATTGCATAGTTTATTTTGGCACTTGACAATCACCTTCCCTGAATTTGAGTCAGGTGTAACTAAAGTCTGATCTAAGGGTTGTTTATATTTCACATCATTAATCACAATCTGCAAAGGAACTAAAATAAATGTAGTGGAGTACAAATACCAGGTTAACCTCTGAATTGTAGTGGAGTAGAACAAAGTAGTATGCTGCTGTAACAAAAACATTTCCCAACTTGGGATCAATAAAGTATATCTTATCTTAAGATGATCGATGGATGCTGCCATATTTGCTAAATGTGCTGTCCAATTCCAGTTTTGGAAAGTCTGCCGTGGCTCCATTCCATTTCAGAGAGCTGTGACGCTCAGCGTAACCTTGCCGCACTGCCACTCCAACATCCAATCACAAGGCTCGATGACTAATCACGGGATTTGTAAAGCAAGGTGGATGTTGTGGTCCCAAACGATAGCTGGGGATTCTGGGTAGTGTAGTGCCTTCGGAAACTGTAGTGTCTAAACTCCTATTTGTTTCTCTGAATCGAAGGTTAAAAACACAAAAGCATTGTACACCATTTAAACCAATCAATATTGTGTAATTAACAAGGATAAACTGATGTTGTTTTAGTGGATGAGTGATGCAGATATCACTGTGTAATCATTTGACAGTGAGGGAATACTTCCGGTTTTATTGTGAAAACTTCGAGACCGGAAAAACAGTTTTCACCCACGCTAACTTTACATGGAAGCTGCATACACGTTATCCCGGCGAGACCTCAAATCATCTTCGTAATATCTATCAAACTATAGATCCTACACATCGACTGGACGTGGATTCTAAAAGTACAATATACACTTCTCGCTAGAAATCTAATCAAAAAGCATTTTAATGGCCAAACTATTCCACAATTTAGGATTTTCCAGAGAAGGTTATTTGTGAATAAACGGGAGCATGTTGTTTCTTACACGACCACACTTTAAAACGTGGCTCTGGGTCGTAATCTAAGGTGCTTAAACAATCGACCTATTTGGTCGTTTTTTGTAGGAGGACAGGCTGGTCTGTTTCTAAGGCCATTTTATTTTTGGTAGTCTGATCATTTCAACAAGAGAATAGAATCAAACTGAAAACATCGTAGATATGTTCTAGATACATGAAGCAGATTAATGAACAGTGAAACTCGCTCATGGACTTTAAGGTGAATACTTTAAGAAAAGGTTTTCCCACACTCTTTGTAGGAGCCACTTTATGGGTGTTGTTGGTGTCTCAGTTTACCTTATTGATATGAATAGTGCAATATCAGGGTATATGCAGGAATCCTGAAGTCCCATTTGATACCTTTTAAGACCTTTTTTAAGACCCTTTCCATACATTTTAAGACCTCATCGCAACTTCGAGTTCTAACCGGTTACATTGGCGACACTTTACCTCACATTTCTATATTGATTAGCTAAACAGCACAACTAAACAGAGTGCAGACAGACTACTGAAGCCTCCTCTCCACATGAACTTCAACCTCTCTGTGAAGGTCAGGTTTAATGCAGTATGCTGCTTTGTTGCTTCTGTACTCTGTGCTCTTTCATTCATTGTTTCAGTAAATTAAAGGGTGTTTCATGTTGTCGTTGCTGTGGACCTTCTTCATACCTTGGAAAATGCCGTTTAATACTTTTTTTTATTTTTGCTAAATTGATTTATCAACTTTTAATACTTTTTAAGACCCCGCGGACACCCTGAATGTTATTTTGAACACTTGGTGGTGGGGTGTATAAAAGTGGTCATAGGTGACAGGAGAGGAAGTGGACACAGGAGGAAGAGCATACCGATTCTACCAGACAGCCAGCCCAGACGATGCTCATACAACAACTATTGACACAGTGTACTTAAACCTTGGTATGTAAAGCAATGAATCAGCGCGCTGTCGGCAGATGGACAGAAAACGAAACTTAAAGTTACAGTGAACATTATGCCTGTCAATTCTGACGTTACGTCAACAGATGGCGCTGTTCTCACAGAATCAGCCCATGCAAAGACAGTGTTAAATTGAGCGAAATGAGGAATGGCTAAAATGCATGATCTGTTTGGTATTTTGAAAAATAAAAAGTATAAATATGCCTTATATAGGTATGGTCCTACACTATATTATTCAAATATAGCATGATAGGTCCACTTTAAAGGAACAGTGAACATTATGCCTGTCAATTCTGACGTTACGTCAACAGATGGCGCTGTTGGGATGGGATCTGTAATGGAAAAAAGGATTACCCAACACAAGGCCAATAGATGGAAATTGTTTATTGCAAACTGTGAAAAAAACAAAATATGCTTAATTGCAGCTCCTACACTCTTAAACCCACTATGGTTTTTCTCCTGAGTGAACACGAAGATGTCTTTTGAGACCACTTGATGTAGTGAACATTTTCCCACAGTCTTCACACCAGTAAGGTTTTTCTCCAGTATGAATACGGTGATGTGATTTGAGAGCACCTGATGTAGTGAAAGTGTTCCCACACTCTTCACACCAGTAAGGTTTTTCTCCAGTATGAATACGTTGATGTCTTTTGAGATCACCTGATGTAGTGAAAGTTTTCCCACACTCTTCACAGCTGTAAGGTTTTTCTCCAGTGTGAATACGTTGATGTGATTCTAGAGCATCTGATCTAGTGAAAGTTTTCCCACACTCTTCACAGCTGTAAGGTTTTTCTCCAGTATGAATACGGTGATGTGTTTTGAGATCACCTGATCTAGTGAAAGTTGTCCCACACTCTTCACAGCTGTAAGGTTTTTCTCCAGTATGAATATGTTGATGTGTTTTGAGATCACCTGATTGAGTGAAAGTTTTCCCACACTCTTCACAGCTGTAAGGTTTTTCTCCAGTATGAAGACGTTGATGTGTTTTGAGAGCACCTGATTGAGTGAAAGTTGTCCCACACTCTTCACAGCTGTAAGGTTTTTCTCCAGTATGAATAAGTTGATGTCTTTTGAGATGACCTGATTGAGTGAAAGTTGTCCCACACTCTTCACAGCTGTACGGTTTTTCTCCAGTATGAATAAGTTGATGTCTTTTGAGATGACCTGATCTAGTGAAAGTTGTCCCACACTCTTCACAGCTGTACGTTTTTTCTCCTGTGTGAATACACAGGTGGCTCTTTAAAGTTCCAGATGCTGTAAAGGATTTGTCACATTGCTGACAGCTGTGACGTCTCTCTCTTCCTTTCGGTTTCTAGAACAGACGGACAGAGAAAGAGAGAAAGTCAATCTAAAAAGCATAAATACACAAGTTAACACAATAAAAACTCACTTAATATAAACCTTGAGTTAACAAAATACTACTTATCAACTGTTTGTCTTTATTATATTTGATACAGTTATACAGCAATATTCTAACCAAAGTATATACCAGAGGTGGGGGACTCGAGTCACATGACTTGACTCGAGTCACATGACTTGACTTGCCTATTTTTTTACTTGAGACTTGCTTGACTAACATTGATAAAAGACTTGACTTTGACTTGGTATTCATGACTTGAGACTTAGGCTTGAGACAGATGACTCGAAAGGACTTTACTTTTTAAAATAGAATATTTGCATTTGTTTTTGTACGAAGCACTTAGAGGGCAATGAAAGAAAGGAAAGAGAGAGAAAGTCTCTCGTTCGCAGGAGAAAGTAGGAAGTGGAGCGCACAGGAGACAGCCGTTTCATTGCACTGTTATGTTTATGTGGAGAAATACATACATTATTTGAGATATATTTCAAACTCGGACTTCATTTTAGGGACATTTCGGCCAGGGGTGTAGAGTTATTTGTTCAAGCACCGGATCGGCAAAACAGGAGAGTCTGTGAACCAGTCTGCCTTGACCTATGTATTCATGTCTGACTCTCACAGTATCTGCTGCCCACAGCTGCTTCATAGAAGAAAAACCTCCTTCACTTGATGAAATCTCTGCAGCACCAGGAGGCAGTAACGTGTAACTCAGCAGAATCTGAGAAGAGCAGCACCAGAGGCAAAGAGCTGTGCCTTCACTGTGTTTACCTTCATTAGAACAGCTAACGAGCGACCGCAGGCTGCACACACACACACACACACACACACACACACTTACTTTTATGATTTCAGAGCCCCACTCTCCATTGTTGTTAATGTTGAAAATAAAACTCTAGTTTCATAACCACTGTCTTTTAACTGATTTAAACTGGGGTTATTCATCAGGATTTCGTAGGACTTGACTTGCTTGACTCTCACCCCAGTAACTTGAGACTTGCACATGTATGACTTACTCCCACCTCTGGTATACAGGAGACAGAGGGAGACGGCATCCTGTCACTGCGAGTCTCAGTATGCTCCGTTCCTCTTGGGTTTTGTTTTTTTGTCTAAACTTTGTTGTGTCTGTATGAAACGTCATTTTAAGAGACCATGCTTTTGATCCTGTGGATTACATTTGCCTTCTGCAGACCATGTCTGGCCATTCAACTTTCCAAGACACACCTGAGTGACAGCACGAACAGGTATGGTGAGGAGCTCCGGCCTCTACGCTGCTACAGACGCGAAGCTATGCTAGAGCTACAATGCGATTGCTTCCTACGAATACACCAAGCCATCTGTGCTCTTCGTTATTGGATGAAATCCCTCGGGAGCCGCTTAGAAACACCAGGAAAAAGAGACGAGGAAGGAGGGGAGGCGTTCAGAATACGGCGGAGATTCAGTCGGCCACCACTTCCATCCATCATTCTCACAAACCTGCGCTCATTGAGCAACAACGTGGACACACTAAGAATATACACAAGGTACTGTCATGAATTTCTCGAGGCCTCTTTATTATGTTTCACGGAAAGTTGGCTCCAATCTACGTTGCCTGAATCTCTCTTTGAAGTACCCGGACTCACCCTTGTTCGAGCAGACAGGGATGCGAACTCGGGGAAAACCAGAGGAGGCGGTATTTCTGTGTATATTAATGATCTGTGGTGCCGATCATACTCAGTAAAATGTAAAACCTGCAATCCCAACGTAGAAATTCTCGGCATGACGTTAAGACCCTTTTATCTGCCTAGAGAATTCGGGTGTATTCTACTGTTTGTTGTTTACGTGCCTCCCAGCGGCAGAGGACACTGTGTTCACGAGCTGCAACTCAGCCACCCCGATGCACCGGCAATAGTGCTCGGGGACATGAAGCAATGTCGCCTGGAGACTGTGTTACCTGGATTCCAGCAGTATGTTAGGGATCACAGCAGGAAAGACAATATCCTGGACAAATGCTTTGTTAATGATAAAGGAGCCTATGTGTCTAAATACAGACCACCGATACTGAACTCTGATCATAATGTTGTGAATATGATACCAGTGTATAAGACCAAACTCAAGGGAAGTCAACCAGAAAAGAAAGTAATAAGGACATGGACAATTGAAAGTAGGGAGCAGTTGAAAGCCTGTTTTGATTGGACAGATTGGGAAATGTTTCAGGAAGGTTCACCAGATGAAATAACTACTGTTACCAAAGACTATATTAACTTCTGTGTTCCCACTAAAGAAATACAAATATATCCAAGTAATAAATCATATGTGACTAAGGACATTACAATAAGTTATAAAACCAGGAAAATAGCTTTAAAAAACAAAGACTATGGAGCACTTGAACAGACAGAGAAAGAACTGAAAGTCAAATCGAGGGAATCAAAACACACAGAGCTTTTGGGAAATGCTTTTAAAGCCAAAGACCCCAAAAAGGTGTGGGACCCCATGAGAACCGTGACACGAATGACCTCTTCAGCTAAACCTATTGTGAAAGACATACTTGATACATACCAAATTGCCTATAAGCAAGGGGGTGGTACTGTTGCTACTCTGGTTCATATCATCACTAAACATTTAGATAAACGTCACACCTATGCAAGAGCCCTCTTCCTAGACTTCTCAGCAGCAACACAATACAAGCAGACATCTTGGTGTCAAAAATGGCCAAAATGGAAGTAAATCCATACCTGATTTACTGGTATGCCGCTTTCCTCACCAGTAGAGAGCAACTTGACCAAACCCTGTCATCTGCCATCACAACCAATGTAGGGGCCCCCCCAGGGCTGCGGGAGTTCATCTGTGCTCTTAGCTTCTTTTAGCTTCTTTTGATGACTTTACTGAACTGCTGTCTATATTGTGTTTTGACTTTGACCGTCTAGTCATTGTTGGTGATTTTAACATCCATGTTGACAACCCCCAGGACAGTGGGGCTAAAGAACTGTTTTGTGTTCTTGATAACTATGGTGGGGACCCTCTCATGACATCCAACTATAGGCCCATCAGTATCTTACCCATAGTATCCAAGGTATTGGAGAAATTAATGTCCAAACAAATCATCAATCATCTCAACAACAGCTCCCTTCCACTGCATCCAATGCAATTTGGATTCAGGGCTAATCACTCAACAGAAACAGCGACATGCTTCTTCGTGGAGAAAGTTAAGGCATCAATGGACAGGGGTGGGGTTGTGGGGGCCGTGTTCCTTGACTTACGGAAAGCTTTTGACACTGTTAATCACAACATCTTACACTTAAATGTTTCTATAGAATTCACCAACCTCTTTCATTCGTATCTTTCATCCCGCTCACAATGTGTTCAAATTGAGAACCATAAGTCTAGTGCACTATGTTTGTCAACTGGAGTACCGCAGGGCTCTGAATTGGGCCCAATCCTGTTTAGTATTGTTACGGCTGCTGCCTTCCGGGTCGTGTTAATCTATGTTGTATGTAAATGAGCAGTGCGATTGCCCTAACGTCATTGGCTGCCATCTCCTGGTCCGACCTGAGGATTGTGATTGGAGCACACCGGGCCCGACGCACTCCAATCACAGCACACAGCCGGCGCGCACCTGCTGGAGATTACTTCAAAGCCTGGGGACAATCATCGCTCTGGAGGCTCCGTTATGTGGGACAGACGCCTCTCGCTACTTGGTCCTTAGACAGATCTGTTAAACTTGTGTGCCCATCTCCGTGTGATATTGTGTGTTAGTAGTGTCTAGAGTAGCTTAGGTCGAGGTTAGAGTAGTTTAGAGTAGCTTAGGATTTTGTGACTGTTGCCTTTGGTTTAGCTGTGTTTTTGTATAGATTATTTGTGTTAGTTGTACCACTTTTAAAGTGAGGTTTAGTTTAGTTTCTTATTTAGTGCAATAGTGTTTATTTCCTTGTATGCAAGTAGACTCCTTTTGTTAGAGTCCTCCCTTTGTTTGGTTATTTGTCAACCTGTGCCCTTTTGGCCCTTTTGTTTGTTCCAGGCTGCATGCCTGCCATTTTGTGTACCTCTGCTATTTAAAATAAACCCATTTATAATTATTACCAATTCCATTCTGGTGTATGTTGATTTCCTCTACCCCAGAGGGGGACGTAACAAGTATGTACGTAAATGATCTGCCTTCTGTGTGTGGAGAATGTGATGTATTAATGTATGCTGATGATACAGTTGTTTTTACTCATGGCAAAACCGCAGAAGAGGCTGCTCCCAAGGTCACTGATGTGTTGGAGAATATTACATCCTGGCTTATGAATAATTGTTTGCAACCAAATGTCTCAAAGACAGTGTGTATGTTCTTCTCCAAGGGCCACAGCATTATAACAGAGCAAGATGTTTTCTTTTCTGGAAGGAGACTTCAGGTTGTCTAAAAATGAATCTAATAAAATCACAGCCCATTCATTTCACTTTTCTTTCATGCTGTGAAAGAAAAAGCAACCTTTTAATCCAGATATCTTGCCATGACTCGCACATGCATTCACGTGCACGGTTGTGGCATGACCACCAAAACAGAAAGATATGGACACAAGGTGTGTGCAAATGTATTTAGTTTCCTATTCATGTGGACATGACGATATTTTCACTTTGAGAGCAACATTAAGAGATCTATGGATACATCTCTCAATACCCATATGAAACAGAACTGTAAGCAGATTTATTTTTCTTTATGGATATTTTACAAATCACTCCCCTTTCAAACTGTATTCTTATTTATTAATAACAACTTTATTTTACTGTCATATAGTATTTTATACCCGTTTACTTTATTCTCTTATTGTTTTATAACTATAATGATCAGGGCCACCTCTACCTCCCTACAGGCCAATCACGCAGGCTGCATGGGGCCCCGTCTTGCGCAGGGGGCCCCGCCCAGAGGGCCTCAGCTGCTGTACGCAGTTCTCCGCGCACCCCCCACGAGAGTGAGAGTGAGAGGTGACAAGGGGAGCACG